GGCGGCGGGGGTGCAGGGAAGGGGGCCTGCGGGCCCTGGGTTTGACGGTTGGTTGACGCCATCGCGGCATAAGGCATCGTCGCGCGATGACGGCACCGCGGGTCAGGCTGTAAACGACCAAACGTGTGTGCATGGAGCGCGCTGCGTGGGCGCTGGACAGGGTTGGCGGCTGCCCCCCGTGCCCGGGGCATGTGCGTCACGCCGCCACGCCTTGTCACTGGCGATGGCAGAGGGGCCATGGACCCTGATGAGCTTGGCGGCCGTCGTCCTGTGTGTCAGGTTGTGGCGCCACATACAATTGCCAGTGTTGTTTTCGAAATCGTCTGAATGACTGCGGCACATACTTCCGATACCCTGTGAGCACGCACATCCCCGTGGCGCCCGTGGGAGTCGCCTGGTGAGTATGTGAGGCCAGCTCGGTGGGCCACATACATTCTTTTCAAGACAGGATGGCTTAGCAAACCCAATCATCGCCATGGAACCCGCCGTGCAGGCGCTCCTTGCTCATCTGTCAGGCTCGGCCCCAGGAGGGGGCCTAAGTGCCCCGTTGCCCGGGCAGACGGGCCACGCGGTCCAGATGGATTTCCAAGCGGCGCTGGCCCTTGCAGCCCTCCAGTCCCACGCCCCTGCCGGCCCTATGGTCCCCGTGCCGGACGGGGGCTTTGCCGCGGCGGGGTTGCCTGCCATGCCCGCAGCAAAGACGCAGGCTAGCAATCGTGGTGGAGGTCGCACACGTTCCGGGGACAGCCGCAGCAGCTCGGCTTACGCATCGCGCCACCAGGTGCGCCGGCGGCGCCTCGCTGTCCGCGTTGCATCGCGTCGTTCGGCAGCCTCGTGCCCGGCTTGAGACGCACCGAAGTGCATGGATGCTTTCCTGCGTGGGCAAGCCAGCGCCTGCTCGTGTCTGGTCCCCGCGCCCCATTCGCCAGCCACCGCGCCGGCACGCGTCAACGCATGATGCGCACATGAGCGCTTACGCCCCCGGTCACGCCGCCCCAAGGCTGCAACACACACACACTCCCCCTCCGCGCACACCACGCAGGCAGCAGAGCAGCGGCGTCGCACGCGCATCAACGAGCGCCTCGACTTGCTGCGCAAGCTGGTGCCGCATGCAGAGCGCGCTAACACTGCCTCTTTCTTGGAGGAGGTCATAAAGTACATAGATCACCTCAAGAAGCGCAACCTGGACCTAGAGCGCGCCCTCCGTGCTGCAACCACCACGGGCGGCGGCGCGGGCCGCGGCGCGAGCGGCGACGCTGCGCCGTCCGTCGGCGCGTGCGAGGCGCCGCCGCCGAGGGCCGCGCGCGCGACGGCGCCGGGTGGCGCGGCAGCGGGCTTTGGCAGTACGGCGGCGGCGGAGCTGGGCCCGGAGCAGGTGCTGCAGTACCAGCAGCAGCAACAGCAGCAGGAGGAGCAGCAGCGGCAGCTGGCCGAGGATGTTGAGGCGGAGCAGCAGGCCGAGGCGGAGCAGCGGGAGGCGGACGAGGGCGCGGAGGAGGCCAAGCCTGAGGCCGCCCTCAGCGGCGCCACCGGCGG